CCTGGGCGCTGTCCCTCAGCTCTTCAGCTCAAGGCAAGCGCTCTACCACTTGAGCCACAGCGCCACTTCCAGTTTTCTGGTGGTTTATTGGAGATAGGAGTCTCATAGTCTTTCCTGCCCAGGCTGGCTTCGAACCACAATCCTCAGATCTCAGCCTCCTGAGTAGCTAGGATGACAGGCATGAGCCACCAGCACCTGGCTTGTTTCCTCTTTGTCTGCCTTGTTTTGCTTTTCTATTTCTTCTTTTCCTCTCAAGTCAATTGAAAAAAGAATGTGTGTTTAAAAGCAATATATATAGAACACTGACATTTTTGAGGGAAATCATTTTTTAAGATATAAACAAAAGGCATCAAACTTAAAAAGAGTGAGTGTGATGGTGCACTTCTCTAATCCAAGAGCTCCTGCCAAGGCAGGAGCATTGGGTTTGAGGCCAGCTTTACTATAGAGTAAGACCCAGTCTCAAAGAACAAAGGGTTGAGGTGTGACTTAAGTGGTAGAATGCTTAAATTGGGGACCCTGAGTTCAAACCTCAGTACCATGTATTGTATTTGTGTATTTGTGTATATGTGTGTACAAATGTACATATGTATATACACACACATATATTTTAGTCCTTATGGCTGGACGCTTAAGGATTTAAAAAGCTTAGTCAGATTTATTGGCTGGTGGTAGTCTCTTCTGCACCGACTGCTGGCGTGCGTGGTCTCTCCTACACCGACTGCAGCTCCAAGATGTCCTGCAAGACCTTTCCTGAACATTGATTTGGCCTCCTGGCTTTATTTTTCTCTTTCCAGGTTCAGTCCTTGTCAGGGCGCCCTCGATCCTGTGATGTCGGAGGCAGCAAGTAAGTAACAGTTTTCTGCCCTAGTTTCTCCTGACAGGAAATGTCCTTTTTTTTTCTTTTGTACAATTACTTACAGATTTTTTTTTAAAAGCTGGGCGCCAGTAGCTCACGCCTCTAATCCTAGCTACTCAGGAGGCTGAGATCTGAGGATCGCGGTTCAAAGCCAGCCTGGGCAGAAAATTCCGTGAAACTCTTATCTCCAATAAACCACTAAAAAATGACGTGGTGCTGTAGCTCAAGTGGTAGAGCACTCGCCTTGAGCTGAAGAGCTGAGGGACAGCGTTCAGGCCCAGAGTTCAAGCCCTACGACCGACAAAAAAAATTTTTTTTAAGAAAATAGGACTTTTGGACTGGGAGCATGGCTCAAGTGGTGAAGCTCTTGCCTAGAAGTATGAGGTCCTGGATTCAAACCCCAGGACCACTAAAAATTTTTTTTCTTTAGAAAAAGAAAATGAGAGCCTTGAGTGATCTGACCCAGTACAAGTTCACATTTTACAGGACCTATGGGCCAAGATAGTAGATTTAGAAACCCACCAAAGAACTGTCTAAATATAAATACAAAGTAGTGCCTCACTGTTTATATAATGGCTTATAATTGGCAAAGTACTTTTTATCTATAACCTAATCTGATCTTGAAATTATTACTATACAGTCAGGTCTAATTTATAGGTAGGGAGGTTGCATTTTGGAGATACTAAGCCAGCCACCCATGTTCTCATTCAAGGGAGACATAGAGTCTCTCTTTGATAAGAAAAATATTCACTCCTGTAATGCTAGCTACTCAGGAGGTTGGGGTCTGCTGAGGACTGCAAGCCAAAGCCGGGAGGAAAACGCCATTTAACCAGAAAAGGCCAGATTGGAGCTAGCCTTGAGTGTTAAAGCTCTAAGGGACAGCACCAAGGCCTTGAGTTCAAGCCCCAATACCAGCACAAAAAAGAAACGAAACAGAGAAAGAAGGAAGTGTCATGTGTGACTATTGCCCGAAAGCTGAACGCACTGTGGAAGGTGATGGTTGCCTTGCTTTCTTTCAGTGTTTTCCCACACAATGGTCAAAACGTAGGCCTCTCCCCGTTTCTGGGGACCCTGAACACTGGGGGGTCGCTGCCCGACCTCACCAACCTCCACTACTCGGCGCCTCTGCCCGCCTCCCTGGACACCAGTGACCACCTCTTTGGCAGCATGAGCGTGGGGAGCAGCGTGGGGAGCCTCCCAGCCGCGATGACCCACCTGGGGATACGGAGCTCCCCCGGTGAGTAGCCCCTGCCCTCGAGAGGCCTGCCCTCGTCCCCCTGCGGTGAAGACCACGTGGGCCCCGGTGTCCACGAGGCTTCATGTTTTGTCAGAATGTAGCGCACGCGGCTGTGTCCCTCCCCCGCTGGCACAGGACGGACACTTTGGACTTGCAATCTGGCTGTTGCAAGCCAAAGTCCACACAGGCAGCAGTGCTGTCCCTTCTCACCGTGAGTGTGCTCTAGGCCAGGCCTCGTGCCGAGGGCCAGGATCCAGCCAGGCATGGGGCAGGGTCCCCAGCTCCATAGAGCTTCCCAGCAGCCTGTGCTATGGAAATGCCTGTCCGGAGCGGTCTCCTCCATGCAGAAGACAAAGGAGCAGCCAAACCTTCCTTTCCCCTGAGTTGTAATACAGGAGTTGAAAAGAGAGAGGAACCCTCAGGTGGGACTTGAGCAGGGCTCACGGCCCCCCCTCGGACTTTCTGAGTGCTGAGGGTATTTAAAGGCTGCGTGAGAGCCACGGCTCTGACGGAGGCTGTTTAAAGGCAGCAGAAGACTCGGGCAGCGAGCCTGGGACAGGTGTGTTAAGGGCTCTGCTGCCCTAGGCCCCTTTCCCAACGGTGGAGCTGAGGACGGTCGCCTAGTGTACAGTGCGGCCCTTTCGTACATACTCGGTCCCTCTCGGAGACAGTAACTGTCACTTGCTCGTGCCGGCTGCTTGGCATCTTCTCTCTTCTCTGTGTCACTGGCACACCTGAGACACCTGGAGTAAGAGAGACGCTCTTTGCACACATATATTGTCATCCCATATGAGGAGAGAAGTTTTCTTACTCTTTGGAAAACAAGAGGCTGCGTCTGAAACTACAGAGGTAACGTGTGAACGTGGTGTCTTCCAGGTCTCCAGAGTTCTCGGAGTAACCCTTCCATCCAGGCCACGCTCAGCAAGATGGCCCCGTCCTCGCCCCTGAGCAGCCACGCGCAGAGCTCGGTCGCCAGTGCCTCCTCTCTCCACCCCTCGCTCCGTCTCTTTTCCCTTAGCAACCCATCTCTTCCCACCACAAACCTGAGCGGCCCCTCTCGGCGCCGGCAGCCCCCCGTCAGCCCCCTCACGCTCTCCCCCCGCCCCGAGGCGCACCCAGGTTTCAGCAGGCAGCTCTCTTCGACCAGCCCGCTGAACCCACACCCCACCTCCCAGGTAACAAAAGGGGCAAAGAGGCTAAGGCAGAACCCAGCCGGCCTTTCCTTTTTTGGGGTTATTTTGGATTCGGTCCGTTGTTACAGCACATGTGGCGGTGGCTGGCGGAGTCATTTCCCTTACAGCTGGTGTGAGAGAAGAGAGTGTGAGGAATACAGAAAGGATTGATTGTCTAATGGCAGACTTGCTGGGTTTACTACTCCTAAGCAAATATTGAACAGTTTGCAAGTGTAGGGCATGGAGAACACAGTGCAGATTTGTCTAAGATAGTGAAGGAAACTAGGTCACAATTTCAAAACTTGTGTGGAGAATTACCTGTTGACTCTATATACATTAAGCCACAGCAGAGAGCCAAAAAACAAAAAACCTTAGTACCTTTCCAAAGCTTTGATAGTCCATTAGCTCTCTTGCCTAATTACCACAGTAGATTTGAGAAGCAATACGTCTATTGTTCATGACATACTATCACGAGGACTATAGCTCTATAAAAGGATTAAAAGAAGTCTATTTAGGCAGAGATTAGGAGGATGACAGTGTAAGGCCCTCCTGTCCCCCTTACAAAACACACACACAGGGCTGGGAAGGTGGCTCAGTGGTAGAGCACTTGCCTTGCATGCTCGAGGCCCTGGGTTCGATTCCTCAGCACCACATAAGCAAAAAGAAAAAAGCCGGAAGTGGCACTGTGGCTCAAGCGGTAGAACACTAGCCTTGAGCTGAAGAGCTGAGGGACAGCGCCCAGGCCCAGAGTTCAGGCCCCACGACCGGACCAAACACACACACACACACACACACACACACACTAGCACATACACACGCCGGGCCTTGCCTGAAAAAAATCACTAAAGCAAAACGGGCTGGAGGTGTGGCTCACATGGTAGAGGTGCTGCCTAGCAAGCCCACTCCAGCCCCCCCAGGGGAAAGATGGAAGGTAGGGAAGAAGGACACATGTCCAAGTCACATACCTATTACTGAATTACAGAAGTTGAAAGTACAGTTTTAACTTATGTTTTTATTCTAAACACTTAAAGGTAGTTCTTAGCATAATCATCTGTGAATATATATATATATATATTTTTTAAATTAATTTATTTATTGTTTGGTCTGGTTGTGGGGCCTGAACTCTGGGCCTGGGCGCTGTCCCTCAGCTCTTCAGCTCAAGGCTAGCGCTCTACCACTTGAGCCACAGCGCCACTTTTTTCTTTTTGTTTATGTGGTGCTGAGGAATCGAACCCAGGGCCTCAGGCAAGGCAAGCGCTCTACCACTGAGCCACCTTCCCAGCCCAGCCCCTGTGAATATATTTTTAATCTATCGGTCACACACTAGGTATATTATAACATCGTTAACTACTAGTCAGGTAATGAGTACTGGTGTAGGATGGCGGGAGGGGTCAGATCTCATTAGTCACTCTCCCATCACTGCCCAGGAAACTGACCGTGCAGCTTGCCTTTAGGGGGGAGGGGAGGAATTGTATAACTTTTTTTATTTTTTATTTTTTGTCGGTCATGGGGCTTGAGCTCTGGGCCTGGGCACTGTTCCTCAGCTCTTCGGCTCAAGGCGAGCACTCTACCACTTAATCCACAGTGCCACTTCAGGTTTTCTGATGGTTAACTGGAAATAAGAGTCTCATGAACTTTTCTGCCTGGGCTGGCTTTGAACCACAATCCTTAGATTTCAGCCTGCTGAGTAGTTAGGATGACAGGCGTGAGCCACAGCCACCTGGCTTAAGGATTTTTAAAATAACCTAAACATTATGACAAGTATATTTCCTCATGGTTACTCCTGCCCGCGTGATCTGTGTTTCCTGTGTCCAGCTTGGGCCCTGTCTGGTCAGGCGTTCCTTGTGGTCTTTGGTCTCCATTCATATTGGAGAGCAGGACTCTGGCAAGCGACTAGCAGTGGTGTACTTGGCTTGCTGAGTGTGCCTTCCCTTGGGAAACCTCTCCTGCCCTAAATTAGTTTTCTCTCTACTTGTGTGCCCAGATCCATGAAGCACACACATCTGCGTGAGCCCGGGGTGTGCCTGCATCCTGACTCGCTGAAGTCTACCAGGAAAAAAAGGCGTGAGGATCTGATTCTGAGATTCTCATAAGCCCTTGGTGTTTAGTAGAAAGCCTCTTATTCTAGGCTCAGCGAGCCTTACTTCACTTCATTTCCTCTCCCCGAGGCCAGGCTCCCATCTCCTGGCGGGAGTAGCTGTCCGGGAGGCCAGGGCCCCCGAGCTGTGACCTGTCACCATGTTGCCTGCTGTTGCCACTCCAGAGCCCTTTAGAGATTCCGGGGTGCAGGTCACATCACCTCTGCCAGCGTAGCGTTTGGCTTTCTCAGCTCCCATCCCCTGTCCTCATTTAGTGTTGGTTGTTGCTATTTTGGTGTGGTTTATTAAATTGCTATTCAATCTTATAGTGTCTTGCTTTAGTGCAGGTTTGGAGGCTGCTCAGCTCGTGCCTTTTTCAGTCTTCCATACCCGCTAGGAGTTCATGGCTTCACACGCAAACAAACCATCATTTTCACAGAGAACATAGAGAGGAAAACGGCTATGTTCTTGTTTGGGTTTTTTTTTTTTTTTAAGACAGCTGAAAGGTTATTGAAGGGGAACGCTTTCAGAGGAGGTGGGTTGGAGATGCGTGGGGGTGGGAATGGCCTGTCACAGGCTGGCGTGGCGTCCAGCAGTGAGAAAAGCCTCAGGCTTCTCTAGTGACAACCTGGAGGCCCTGTTGCTGTGTTACAGATGGTGTCCTCAGAGCGAAGTCCGCTTTCCTTCCTGCCCACAGAAGCCCAGGTGTCCCCCCCGCCTCCGTACCCCACGCCCCAGGAGCTGCCCCAGCCGCTCCTGCAGCAGCCGTGTCCTCAGGATCCCTCTGCTCAGCAGGCCCTGCCACAGACGGCCTTCCAGCTCCTCCCATCCCAGGTGAGCTCCTCCTGGGCCGTTAGTCAGGAGGAGGGCTTATGTTGCTCAGAATTCCAAGCTAAATGGTCATCTCCTTCTTCCCTGAAGGGCTCGTCTTTGACCAACTTCTTCCCAGACGTAGGCTTTGACGCACAGTCCCTCCGGTCAGGCCCGGCCTTCCCTCAGCAGGTGTGTAACTGGCTCTTGCCATAAAACTGTACCATTGAGGCTGTTCCCTGTGTAGACGCCCATTGCCCGCCGCCCGCCTCCCAGTGTCACTGTGCTCTGTGCCTCAGTGCCTGTTCAGGCCAGGCCTTCGCAGGACTGTGGGTCAGGAGCACGGTCAGTACTGGAAGGGGCTGGGGCTCGGGGAGGGCAGGGCTGTGCCCGCAGGCCTTGTGGTGCGTTCAGCGGTGTGTGGCCTCCTGGGACAGCTTGGTCCAGGCTGGCACTGCTGGGGTGGTGAGCGTCCTTCCCTGAGCCATTTCAACCAGCTACTTCATTTTGTTTTTCTGTTTCTTTCTAGCACCGACCCTTTTCAATACTCCTAGATTTAGTATGCTCAGGCTCAAGATAGACTGAAGAGCAAAGGCAGGTTGAGTGGTTCCCAGAACTTAATACATTCTCACGTAGACCATGAGGAGCCGCGCAGGGCTCCTGGCCTCCCTGGTTCGGAGACTTTTCATTTCTTTTTAATTTTTGTGCAGTGCTGGGATCAGATCCTCACACTGCCGCAGAGGTGCTCGACTGCTGAGCCACGCTCCACGCCCCCTCTGCACACGCCACGCTCGCTCACCGTGCTGCACAGAGCCCTTTTCCGTCTAGACAAGAGTCGATGTTTGACTGGAAAGTGATGGAAATGCCTAAATTTTTATTACCTTTTTTTTTTTTCATTTGTTGCCACTCCTGGGGCTTGAACTCAGGGCCTGGGCAGTGTCCCTGAGCTTCTTTTCCTCAGGTTAGCTCCCTGCCAGCTGAGCCACAGCTCCACTTCTGGCTTTTTCTGAGTAGTTTATTGGAGATAAGAGTCTTGCAGACTTTTCTGCCCAGATGAGCTTCAAACCAAGATCCTCAGCCTGAGTAGCTAGGATGACAGGTATGAGCCGCCAGCACCCGGCTCAGAGACTTTTTTTTGGAGGGGGTCCCCGTCATGGGGCCTGAACGCTGGGCCTGGGCGCTGTCCCTCAGCTCAAGGCTAGCGCTCTACCACTTGAGCCACAGCGCCACTTCCAGCTTTTTTCTTTTTTGCTGAGGAATGGAACCCAGGGCCTCATGCATGCAAGGCAAGCGCTCTACCACTGAGCCACCTTCCCAGCCCCACAGAGACATTTCTTTGAGGCTGATTTGGAAGATGAGTTGGAGGCGAGGCACCTCGAGCAGCCCCGGTCCTCGTGGAGGCGTTCTCAGTGTGGTGCCAGCCTGAGGAGAGCGAACAAGAACTCTCACGCCTTTTCCAGAAACCAGCGAGGAAAGGGGCCCACCCCTCCCTCGGTGACCACCCGAGCCTCTGAGGGCCCCCACCTCGCGAGGCGGAGAAGGCTGCACACGCTGGTCCCCTCCTTCACCCTAGGGCCACCTTCTTTCAGGACATCCGCCTGCTATCACCACCGCAGGACGCACTGGGGTCCCTGAAGCATGGGATCTGGGGGTGGCCTGCGTGTTTGGCCTTCCCGGGGACCTCGGGCCCGTCTCCCGGGAGCAGACCCGCGCCTCACACACGACACTGTGCCTCCAGGTGTCCCTGCAGCAAGACGCCCAAGACCTACAGGACTCCATGCATCTGAGACCAAACCTGTATTCCAGCTGCGGGGACTTCCCCAACGCCGGCCTGACGGGTGAGTCTGGCTGCGCCACCCGCCTCAGGGCCCCACTCAGGAGGGAGGCCATTTCCCATGGCGCTCCTTTGAACAACACAGAGTGTTAGACAAAGTGGTGCCTTTTTGAAGTAGTACCTTGCTTTCTGCTCAAATGCACACCTAAATCACAGTCCTGTTTTTCTCTTCCCGCTGCAGCCGGAATGACAGGTGCTCACTACCACTCTCAGCTTTTAGGTGAGCAGGGATCTCACCTGTATGCTCAGGCTGGACTCAAACTGCTAGCCTCCCAATCTCAGCCTCTGAAGTGGCTTGGATTACAGATGTGAGCCATGGCCCCCAGCTCTGGGGGCCACAAGACGGAAGAGGGCCTGGCAGTCAAAACGCCTCTGGAGTTTTTAGTCTTGGTTTTTAACCATCATATCAAAGGATAAATCTGCAAAAGTTGGAACTTTTGGAACCTACTGTGAAGAATGTCAGTCATGCCGGGCACCCGTGGCTCCCGCCTGTCATCCTAGCGCCTCAGGAGGCTGAGATCTGAGGATCACCGTTCAAAGCCAGCCCGGGCAGGAAAGTCCTTGAGACTCTTATCTCCTAAGTTTTTCTTTTTTTTTTTTTTTTTTTGGGTCCGCTGTGGGCCTGAACTCAGGGCCTGGGCGCTGTCCCTCAGCTCTTCAGCTCAAGGCTAGCGCTCTACCACTTGAGCCACAGCGCCACTTCCGGCTTTTTTCTTTTTGCTTACGTGGTGCTGAGGAATCGAACCCAGGGCCTCAGGCATGCAAGGCAAGCACTCTACCACTGAGCCACCTTCCCAGCCCTCCAATAAGGTTTTCAGAAAATCCTGGAAGTGGCACTGTAGCTCAAGTGGTAGAACACTAACCTTGAGCACAGAGAGACTAAGGGACAGAGCCTGGACCTTGAGTTCAAGCTCCAGAGCTTGAAGGTATCAGTTATGAGGCTTATACCTACCATCCCAGCTGCTGAGGAGGCTGAGAGCAGGAGAACAATGGCATGCGCCGTTATGTCAGCTAGGGAAGGCAGACAGGAGAATTGAAGCCCGAGACCATCCTTGGAAAGACGTAAGGCCCTGTCTAAAAAATAAAGCACAAAAGGTCTGGGGAGTGTGGTTCAGGTGGTAGAGTGCCTTCCTAGTACTCTAGGAAGTCCAAACTCCAGTACTGAAAAGAAAAACAATACTGATTCAGGCAAGCACCGTGAGCCAGGGGTTGGCCGGCACCGGCGCTCCCGGGCCGTGGAACACAGCACCGGGCGCGCAGGCATTGCCGCTGGCTATTCGCAGCAGCCTGAGCCCCCACGCTCACACCTCCTAATCACTCTGTCCTTTCAGAAGATTCCAGCACCAGCCTGTTCAAAGATCTCAGCAGTGCTCTGGCAGGCATGCCTGAAGTCAGCCTGAACGTGGACACTTCATTTCCATTGGAAGAGGAGCTCCACATTGAGCCCCTGAGCCTGGATGGACTCAGCATGTTGAGTGACTCCAGCATGGGCCTGCTCGACCCCTCTGTGGAAGAGACGTTTCGAGCAGACCGACTGTGAGCAGCACATGCCAGGGCCAACGCAGAGGGGAAGAGAACGGAGCCAGGAAACATCCCGCCATTACTTATTTCCACACAGAAGGACCCGAGCCCAGGCTCCAGGCTTTGAGCTCAGGCTCCATCTCAGCACCGTCACCTGTCCCACACTCGGCCCCGTCCTGCCTCTCAGGCCTGCAGCACAAGCTGCCGCGGCAGGCAGGCTGCTCAGGAGCTCCGGGGAGCCCGCGCGCCTCCCTCGGCCCCTTCCGCCTTTCTGTCGGCCATCTGGCCGGCCGGTGTGCAGACACACAAGATGCCGGTCACGGAGGCCTCTTCAGCGCTGCGTGGTGCTCAGAGCCACTGAAGTGCAGCCTGGTGAGGAGGCTGTGGACGGAGGCTCGTCTTCGAGCACTGGTACCCCGACACCATGATGCCTTAACCATGGCACCCACGGGCAAGCCCCAGCCATGGCCCCTCACAGCCTTGACGCCTGACCTGTCCAGGGACAGGCTCAAGCCAGGCAAGCCGAGGCTTGCTTGCTTCCTCCCAGTTTGTAATCTCTCTGCTGCTGCTTCCATACACTTGTCCTTTGAACAGGAGGAAAGCAAGACTTCACTCAGTCACTGAAAACAGCCCCGCAGGAACAGACAAGCCTGAAAAGCATGGTGCTCCTTGAAGGCTGAGAACGAAGAGGAGGCTGAAGGTGTCTCACACAACCAGAGAAGCACGCCTCTCCTCCTTCCTGCCTCCCCCCCCCCGCCCCGGCAGCGGGAGGGAGCTGCTGGGGGTCCTGTCAGACCCAAGAGCTGAGCGCCCCTAGTCTCCACAGAATGGTGTCTCTGAGCTGGGGCGTTGGCCTGGAAGCCCCCGGCGTGCAGGGGCTGCGCCCGCCTCCTCACCAAGCCCCTGGCCCCTAACAAGTGCCTGGCCCAGACCAAGCGCTGCGCCACCGCCTGGTGGATGCACTCGTGCGTGCGTGAGCGAATGACGAACAGATGGGTGAAGGGACCTGCTGTGCTGCCAGGCTGTCCAACCCGTAGCTGACCCTTCCCTGCCACTCCCCCGTGACGCGTGCGGTCAGTCGCTTCTAACACGGGACGCCCGTTCCAGGCGCCCGCTCTCCCGCCGTGCTGCCGCAGGCAGTGGAAGCTGTCTTCTGAGGGCACAGCAAGCCTGCGCCTCAGAGCTCTTCCCAGATCCCTGTTTCGCTCTAAGTAGCAGAGGTTCCTGCTTTGAGGTTGAGGAAGTTGATGGTAAATGATTCGATAGTGGACCTTAGCCACGACCTCAGCATAAGCTAACTTGAGCAGATCCCCCTGCCGAGGAGCAGGAGACATAGCGACCCCCACTGGACACCCCGGGGAGGAGCAGGTGTGGAAGGCGGAGGAGAAGGTGGGAGCGTACTGAAGGGAGGGCGAGAAGCTGGAACCTTTGCCTGGATGGCTGCTGCCCTTCCCCGAGACCCCTTGGCCTTGCTCGGGCTTCAGGGCCATGTGGGAGGAAGCTGCCACACCCGGGCCTGGCCACGGGAGCCCGCCACAGCCACAGCCCCGTCCTCCCCACAGGCCCCCGTTTCCCTTCCAGCCACCCCCTCTGGAACCCAGGCATTCCTGTTTGCCCCCAGCTCTGCTGTTGGGTTAGGAAATCAACCGTTTCCCGCGAGGCCTGCGGAACTCCGTGCTGGAGAGCTCACGGGGAGTGGGTGGTGGTCTAAAGGAAAAGGGCCTGGGGGAGCTATAATACCACCCCGCACCCCAGAGTGCCACTGGAAGCCAACTCCTGGGTCACAGGCCCCCTTGAAATTGCAGCCTGCCACTCAGGCAGGGGGGCGCTGGCATGGTTCTGTTTCTGGAGAAGAGGGGCCAGCATAGCCTTCCCTTCCATAGAGCCTCAGTCTGGAGACAGTTGTGTCAGGACCACCGCCTGTTGGGGGTCTGCAGGGGGGGGGGCGGGAGAAGGCGTGTCCTCGGGCCCATCCGTCTGAACACCTGACACCGCCCATTTGTCTGGACAGCCACCCCACAGGGCGCCCCCCAGAGCGCGCCCTGTGAGCCGCACCAGCTGCTGCTCTGACCAAGCTGTCGCGGTCCTCAGCTTACACTGTGTCCAATACCTAACTTTTGTAGCCAGACATCGGTCAGACGACATCCAGTTCCTGGCAGTTAAACCGCATAGAACTAAAACCCTGTCTCCAGTTCTCCTTCTCCCATGGCGTGGGTGTTAGGACACCGTCGTCATCTTCATCTTGGGGGGGGCATCCTTTACCCTCCTTGCCTCCTCTCACATGAAATCCCAGATCTGCTGCATATGCCCTGAGCTGCTCTGCAGGGAGCTCCAATCCGTCCTTGGATTCGAACTCACTTCCCTTGCTGACTCTTTCTGCACAGGTGGTTCAGAGCGCAATTCCGTCGCTTCTCAGATGGGACCGTCACAAAAGCTAACAGACTTCCCGCCAGTGTCCTAACTCCCTGGGCCCCTTGTTAAACAATATTTAAAGATTGGAATTTGTATAAAGTAGCTTCCGAGTTTTATAATACATCATTTTACATCTTTCGTAATTAAAGGCAGCACAATAAGTTGTATTGCTTTTGGTGTTTTTCTTCTACCTCAGATGGTTAATGAATGGGAAGGGGCTGTTTTTGGTCGTGGGGGGGGTCGGGGGTGTGGGGTGTGGTGTGTGCGCATGCATGCCAATTCTGGGACTTAGTCTTGGGACCTGGCCACTGTCCCTGAGCTTTTGCTCAAGACTAGAGCTCTTCCACTTGAGCCACAGCTCTCCTGGCTTTTGGGTGGTTAATTGGAGATGAGTCTCATGGACTTTTCTGCCCAGACAGGCTTTGAACTGCGATCCTCAGATCTCAGCCTCCTGAGGAGCTAGGATTACAGGCGTGCGCCTCTGGTGTCCAGCTTGCCCTTGGTCTTTGACCTCTCCTTGGTTTGGCCTGCAGGTAACCGGTTTCTGGCCCCTGGCGGGACAGGTCCTGCACCAGCCCACTTGTCCACCCTTGCAGGGATCATGGTTTGACAGTGTGCCAGGGACAGGGCAGCCAGGATGTGGCTCAGTCTTTTGCCACCCTTTCCTCCCCAGCCTCTCTGTTCGGAAGCAGCTGTGACTCCTGGGCTCCGCTCTCTTGCTGCCCTTCCCGAGCTGGTGAGGTCGCGGCTGCAGCCCCTCCCAGAGCCTACTCACTCCTCCCCACTCCCACCCGCATCTGCTCTCACCCACTGGGAATTCATTCCTTGTCTTTCCTCCTGTCCTTTTAGCTGCCCTTTCCTCCTCCCTGGCCTGGTCCACCCTGGTAATGGCTTCCGTGTCTTGATTTTTCTCTGCAGGAAAAGCCCAGCGGCCCCCTCGGTGCTACCCTTGAGACCTTCCTGGACCACACCAGGTAGCCAGGCTTCTCTCATCAGCAACTCCAAGCCGCCACGGTAGCTTCTCCTGCCTCTCCTGCTCCCTCCATGCTGGTCTCATGCAAACGTGCCCAGCTCCACCTGCCTGTCTCCCACCCTCACCCCTTCAGTGAGCCTGGAGTCTCACTTTCCATGGGGTCACAGATCTCCCTACAAGCCTTCATTTCCACCATCTCCGCCAGCCTGTACGTGCTTCAGACCCCTTCCTCAAGCCCAGCTTCTTAAACTATCTCCTTTCTCAGAAGAGAGCTTCCTGCACAGCCCTCTCCCCTTCCCGCCATCTGCCACCTCCCTCTGCCAGATACCATCCCAGCTCTCCTAGCATTGCCCTGAAGCCCTCCGGCCCTTCCCTTGGGAGCCCAGCCTAGGCTCCAGTAAGGCTTTTGCCACACTCTGGGCCCCGTCTCCCATGTGTGTCCTGGTCTAGCTTCCTGTCACCGGCCCCGGCCCCTCGTCTAGCCCTCTGCCCCGGCCTGTCACCCAGCTCAGCTCACCGCCTCCACTCCATCCCCCTCTGCAGGCCTTCACAGACCCTGGGCACGTGGGCATCACCTTTGCTGCTCTTGTCGCTCCCTCCCTCCCTGATTCCTGGGGGACCTGGGACTGGGGGCTGGGACCACGCCTGTACTAGCATATTCACCGTAAGTCCTCACTATCCTGGGTTTTTTGTTTTATTTATTTATATTTATTTTTGTCAGTCGTGGAGCTTGAACTCTGGGCCTGGGTGCTGTCCCTCAGTTCTTCAGCTCAAGGCAGGTACTCTACCACTGAGCCACTTCCAGTTTTCTGGTGGTTTATTGGAGATGGGAGTCTCACGGTCTCTCCTGCCCTGGCTGGCTTTGAACTATGATCCTCAGATCTCAGCCACCTGAGTAGCTACGATGACAGGCGTGAGCCACTGGCGCCCAGCTACTATCCTGTTTTTCAACTATTACTTGTTGCATGAATCTGTTGTTCTTTCAAAGATGGTATACACAAACGCTTAGCATTATTGAAGTACCAAATATATACTCTGGGAGGAATGCACTAGAGGGATCTTGCTTTGGTCCTGCTTGTTTAATGAGTGCTGTCATGTGTGCAAGTATGGGAATTATGATTCGCAATAGCTGCTGTGTGTGGCTATGTCCCCTTGTGGGCACTAGATGGAGCCCAGAGCCCAACTGTGAGAGTGGCTCTCAGGACCTGGGATCAACCAGACAGCCAGACAGCCAGGCCTCAGCCCTTGGACTTGGTTGGCAGCAGTGTTGTGAGTCAGATCCTACCACAGAGCTGTGAGTGGCCCCTGCCCTGCGGGCTGGCAGACACCCCCCTCCCAGCGAGCAGAAAGCAAGGCAGGGCGAGCATGATGTCGTGGGGGGGCACAGATGAGCGAACAGGCCAGAATGTCCCCCAGACTGGAGGCACAGCCCAGACCCGTGGCCTGACCATCTACCACCCACTTACGCGGGCTTGAGACTGCGTAATCCTGAGGCCTCCGCTAGACTAGCTCCTCTGCCAGGCCCTGTGAGGCGGGTGGGGCCAGCTTAAAAAGGAAGTTTCTAAAACCAAGCAAGCACCCAGAAACCCTCACGGCTGACACCGGGGATGTCAGCGAAGACAAGTGTCTCCGCCCATCCTCGGGG